AGCAGGGGGAATCTCAGCCCTGTCGTTCTGGTTTTATTATAAAAATGGATCAGGAAAGTCTGAAGCCTCTGGTGAGCAGCTCTGCCCATCAGAGAGTGTGGAAGATGAATGGAGCAGTGCCAGCTGCTGAGGCAGTTGGGAGTAGTGGGTTTTAAGTGACCTGCAGGAAAGATGCAGGGCAAAGTAATGCTGGTTAAGGGACTTGTTAACTTGTAAGGCTGCCATCACTGGGATCCTGGAAAGTGGGTTATTTTTTTGAAGGAAACCACTAGCCTTTATCCTGATGATGGAAGCTTTCTTTTCTAATTTCAATTCTCCCCAATTATACTGATGTCCAAATCTTGAAAAAACAAATGGGGATCGATTGAGACATGGTTGTCATCTTTCTCCATGCAGATGGGTATTATTCCTGACAATTAAAGCAAAACTTAAAGAACAAGCCAAAAAGCCTTGTCCTACAGAGTTTTGCATACAGTGCACTGAGCCGTTGGGTGGGTAGGGGCTGTTCATGGCAAATTGAAATGGAAAGCAGTGGTCACAGAGTCATAGACTTCCCTGGGTTTCCTTTTCTGCAAATCTCAATGCAGCATGGAGTGAAAGAGTGCAGTGCCGATTTATAGCTGACTGAAGGCAAGACACGTAGGGACTCAGCATCTCGGTGACTAAACTGGTTGCACTGAGCACGATCCCTGAAGAATTGGTACCAATGCCGTAATTTATGCCATTGGTGAGGGTGCATTTGGGAACCTTTGTGTCTTTTTTTGCATCCGTTGGTAAAGCTGCGTCTTGAAACATTTCATCCAAATTGGGAACTGAGAAGTTCTTTTCAGACTTGATTCATTTCAAAGAAGCATGTAACCTTTCTTCCTTTTAGAATTAGAAGAATCTCCCTTAACTGTGAAGAGTGACATGGCTACTATTGTCAAGGTTATGCAGCTACCAGACTCAGGCCTTGAAATTCGGGACAGGATGTGGTTAAAAATTACCATCTCCAATGCAGTGATAGGTAAGCAGATCAAAGGAATCCGGGGGGCGGCGGGGGGGAAACCAGTGGCTTTTTGGAAACAGGCTGAAGAAACTATCTTTATCTGAACTTTTTTTTTTCCCCCGACTATGACCTCTTCTATTTCCTTGACTTGGTATTTGTGAACAACTCTAAGTGTGACAGGAAATACCTAATAGCTCTCGTTTGAGCCTGGGCAGCCAAAACCACTGCATGTTTCTCATGCCCACACACAGCTGGTCCTTAACCCTTACTTGTTATATCTCAGTTTTTCTATGTAACTATTTGTGGCTCTGGCAATCTGCCCAAGTTCAGCAGAGCAACAATCCTTGTAATTCCAGTTCCAGCCAGCCACACAACCTTAATAAAGCATCTTAATTACATTTAAAATTACCACAACTAGTCTACCTTTGATTCTGACTCTCCTGTGACCTGAACTGTGCTAACATTTAGTCAGTCTAGGTTGCAGTTACTTTTTGCTGAGAAAGGGATTGGAACCCAGGTCTTTTGACAACGTAACGTCTGCCTCTCGAGGAAGATGACTTTTCCAATCACCTCTGCTCTGTAAATCCCATGTGATTTTCATTGCTGCAACTCAGAAGGGGTTGAACAGTGTAACTATAAAATTTTCTCTGTGTGTATTTGATGTCACTGTTAGCGCAGTGTTCAGCTGGGTGCAAGATAATTCTTTGCTTTCTTTATTGATGTTTGATGGTAACTAATTTAGCAGTTAGGCTGAGTCGTGAAAATAACATTTTAAGCTCTTTGGAACGAGATTGCTACATATTCATATTTGCATTCAGTACCTGGCGCAGTAGTACTAGTGGGCTATCTGATAATGTGAAGGTTAAAAAACCAAAAAAGATCAGTTTGGCTCAGATGATCCTGTGTCTCCTCTTCCTGTTCTCATTTTAGGCGCAGATGTGGTTGACTGGCTTTACACACACGTGGAAGGCTTCAAAGACCGACGGGAGGCTAGAAAATATGCCAGCAGCATGTTAAAACATGGCTACCTCAGGCACACTGTGAACAAAATCACCTTCTCGGAACAGTGCTATTATGTCTTTGGAGACCTCTGTGGCAGTAAGTTCCCCATCTGTGCAGGGCAAAGCTGCATGTGTGGTGGCCCTTCTGTGCTCGCAGGATGCACAGAGGAGACTCCTATAGGATTGCACAAGTGGGCATTTCAGAACAGGCCGTTATTCTGAAGTTGCATGACAAGTGGTTGACATTTCCTGTTAGACTAAGCAATTAGACCACTTGGAAGAGGAGGAGGAACTCATCAAACAGGGCATTGCACTGAGGCTGAGGAAAGCAGGATTTATTTCTGGTGATGCCACAGACTTCCTGCTTGTCAGTCACACTCGGTTTCCAATCTGTAAAATGGGGATGATGCCTCCCTGACTTACGGAAACGCTGCAGTGGTACCTTGGGGCTCAGTGGTGAATATTGACGCCTGCCCTACTGTGTGTGATATTTTGAGTGAACTCTGGAGGCTGAGTCCCTCTAGTCCCTCAACCACACTGGGTGCTGTATCAGCCATTATTAATATGCAGCAGTCAGCTGCTAGGTAAGAACGCAGTTTTCACCTTTTCTCTCTTTTCCAGATATGGCTGCACTGAACCTTAACAATGGTTCTAGTGGAGCCTCAGATCAGGATACCCTTGCTCCGCTTCCACATCCTGCCGCTCCCTGGCCATTAGGCCAAGGATACCCATACCAGTATCCTCTGCCCCCTCCGTGTTTTCCACCAGCATACCAAGACCCAGGCTTTAGCTATGGGAGTGGCAGTGCAGGGAGCCAGCAAAGTGAAGGTAAGATGGTTAATCTGGTGTTTCTTTCTACAGCTGTCATTATCCCTGACCATTTGCTTGAGTTCCTCCGTACTGTCTGTGCTCCTGTCTTGTGGTTTTGTGTGCTACCTGCATGGATTTTGTGCGACCGCACTTAATCAAAACTGTTTGTGTATGTGATGGAGTGGGCTAGCCTTTCAGCTCTGTATTAAAACTGCCAGCGATGTTTTAACTGAGTCAGTAGAATAGAATGCATGCTGTTTACAGTTATGCTGTAGTTCTGTACCCCAAGCAAAATGCCAGTGGGGGGCTAGAGGCAAGCTATTTGGCACGTCCATGGTGGCACGGGCATCTGTACTTTTCTTAGCAGCAGCACCACGCGGTAAACTACTGCTTAGGTAATGCTGATCAGACCAAGATTCATGACTCAATTGTCCACCCTGTTAAAATAGATAAACTATTGCCCCCCTTTCTAGAGGTCAGAGCCATTGCCAACAGCGGGGCTGCAGTCGCTTGATATTGCTAGAGATTAGGCCATTTTGTTGCTGATGGAACAGGGACTAGAACCAAGGTTCAACACTCAGCACAAAAGGAAAATCACTCTCTTTGCTTGTGTGATACAAGCATGAGGTGGCCAGCCAGATGGTTTACAGGGCTGAAACACTGCTCACCGGCAGGAGAGTCTGTTCTGTAATACATGACAGGGAAAAAAGATAATACTGCATGGATTAAAAACCTGACCTCCTCCTTTCCTGCCCTGGGATAATTCTTTGGTTCATTTTTAAACCTTAGTAAATAAAAATTATACATTTTTTGGCTGTACAGATAAGGCCCTTCTGCTTTTTTTTTTTTTTTTTCCCTTTTCCTTTGTTTTTGTTTTTTTTTAAAAATGATTTCCAGAGTGAGTTTTGCTTTTGGAAATGCCAGTAAAGAAAGGGTGAGGATTCTCTGTGGTTTTGTGGTGAACATCCAGTAACTTGGATGTAACTTCTTCCTGTTTACTGCAGCCAGTTAGATTTTGCAAAATTGCACAGAAGAATTTCATAACAGGAACCTGCTCACAAGATTTTAGCCCTATTGCTTCCCACCTTATCTCAAAATAGGGAGTGTCTGTGAGGAAGCTCACAGTGGTATCCAGAGATTTTAGAACTGCAAGCTGATTGTGTTCGAAAGAATGTGATTATTATTTTTGGCTGCTGGTTCTGCGGGCAGTAGAATATTAGATCTCTACTGCTGGAATAGGAAAGGTATGGTATTTTATCCATGCGACCTGTGTTACTGGCTAAAGAGAGCCTTATGAAAGGCGCTAAGGTGTTTAATTTTGAAGGATTTCAACACTTTCCTTGTTCTTCTTTTGGAAACTACACTTCTGTGTTGTTTCTTGTTTTGTAACTGTTATTCCCTTGTTTTGTTCTGAGCAAGCATTAGACTGAAGGATTCATAGAGGAATGGCTGACTCTAGGGGATTGGTAAGCTTCAAATGCCTCCATAATAATAATGAATTCACAGCATGATCATTTAGACTCTTGTGACCCGAATGTTTAGCTGTATTTTTTCCTTTTTTTTTTTTTTTTTTTCTTTTTCTTTTTAATTGTCTTGGACGCTCAACCTGTCTCAATGCACAGTAGTCCAATAGCGTGGCGTTAGCGTATGAACCTGGCTGGCCCCTGTGTGACTGTGCTGCAGCAGCTGCAGAGGGAATGGCATCAGACACCTCACTGTCAGCTCAGATGGGAAAATCCTAGCGCCAGTCTCTCCACTGCCCTTCATAGAATAAATAAATAACCCCAGCTCCTAATTTATCAGTCCGATGTCATCCATCTGGATGGCTTTATCTACCAGTGCCCTTCAACTGCTCATTTACTGAAAGACACTTGAGCACTGTCCAGATGTCTCAGGCAGGTATTAAGAGTACTGGGACACAAGGTTGCATTGATCGCTCTCAATATGGAGTGTTAGAGTTGGGTTTCTTGTGAAGTCTCTCTTTTATGTGCAAAGTTAGATCATAACTGAAGTCATCTGGTGAACAAACGCTCTGCTCCAGAGCCCAGTGAATGTCACATGTTTTTGAGATGAATGCAGTGTATTTGCTGATGATTACAGACAAAAGCCTGAGATTTGGGTCAAGAGACAGACTGAGACGTGTCCTGGCAAGCAACAAATGGGGAGGAGAAGATCTAGCAAAGTTCTATGTGATGTTGCAGTTCTGTTCAAGGCTCTGTTCCAATTTAGGTTGCTGCTTATTTCATCTGAGCCACGTCATCTGTGCCTGCTTGTGGTACCCAGGGCTTAGGTTATTTTTAAAGGCTTGGGCAGGTTTGCTGTAGGGAATGGCACTGGTGTGAGGACCAGCTCCTCTGTAAAACATCATCTCTGTTACCGTAGTGTTTAGATCAAAGGCATGTCCCTGTTGTGGGAGATGCTCGCTGTACAGATGGATAGCGAGATGTCATCAGGTTACAGTCTGAAGAGATGAAAGAAGTGGGAAGGATGGATTTGTTCAAGCTCGCAGGATGTCAGTTGTTGGGACAGGAACAACAGAAGGGTCTTCAGAGCCTCTATACACTGTCTCTGGAGGCTCTCCTGCCCCTGTCCAGAAAGAGTCATGTGGAAATTCTGTTCCCATGAAATGACGTATTGAGGCAGCTGGAGTCTCTGTGGCTTTAGGGGGTGCAAGTTGGGTGTCCAGCAGTAACAAGAGAGTAAAGGCTGATGATATGTTGTGGCAATGCTGAGTGCAGCTTTTGTAGGCACTTGAAATGCAGATTCTTTAAATCCAGTTTATGACACTTAGGTTTAAAGTTGGCCTTAGATGGAAACAAACACTGCTGTGGTTGTGTTAAGTTAGCAGCATTTCAAACCTGAGCTTTAGGCTGGGCTGCATGTCTCCAAGACAGGCCAGTCCCTAGCTGCCAAGGTGACACTCTTGTTATCTTGCATTTGAACTCAAGGCTTAGAAGGACTTTCTGATTGTTTGTTCTGTGACAGGATTTAAAGGCATGTCAGGGAGAGAGTGAACCTCAGCGTGACCAGAGGAGAACGGCCATGCTGCTGAGTATTCTTAGATAGACTGTCATGGCAGATGGTTTCTCTGTTTTCTTTCTGCTATGTAATGAGCTTGGAGTGAAGCTGCAGAAAGCCAGGTTCTTCTGAGCTAAGAAGTCTGCATTAACCACTTTACCTCTTGGAGTCTTGGGAGATCAGCTAGAGCTGCTACTCCGGATCTACTGAAGTCTGGAGTAGCAACGTGATGGATTGCTACAAGGCAGTCTCAGTCCTACTGACTGTGGAAGACCTCTCGAGATCAGTAATATACACTTTCCGTACAGCTTGCTTTCTCCTCTGCGTGATCTTTACTCAGCTCCAAGCTATGGAACTGGCAATGAATTTTTGTGTATGGGGAACTTGCATCAAGGAGTGATGACTTTGGATAAGGTTTGCAGGGTTTGGATGGGTGGCAACAGAATGCATCATGAGGTAGAGGCAGAGGCATATCAGCTGTGGAAGGGTTAAAATAAAATGTCCATTTTCTTCCAGTGTGAACAATGTGCCACACTGGAGAGCTTACAAAGATGCTTCTTGGAGATAATCTCTATGTTGTTCTTCGGAGTAAAGGCTGTAACAGTCAACCTGCTAACAAGTAGTTTCTCCTCTTTTATTTGTCTTTACAAGATTATTACGAAGCATTTGAAATGACAGCTCAGAGAGCGCCTTGTCTCTTCAAAAGGCTCACCTTAATGAATCTTTGTAGTGTTTGGTGGCGCAGCTGAAGTCATGTTAATATCTCCATTTACAGATGGAAGAAAACTGAGGCACAAAGCAGGACAGTGTTTCCCAGAGCAAAGAGCTGACAGGGCTTGCAATCAGCAAATACCGCTTCAGAGTCCCAGGCTCAGAATATTAACTTAAGTCCAGTGATTTTTGTATTCTGTGTTTTCCATCTATCCCCAGTTTTTCTTGCACTCCGCAGGGGAACCTAGCCTTTCAGCTATACCCACCAGGTCAGTCTAGTTTTCGTGTCTCTTCTATTTGCCTGCTCTAAACATCGGCTGGAGCAGACAGAAGGTCATGATCATCTGTAGTTCAAGAAAGGAGCCGCTCAGAATCGTTCTGTTTTTCCCTTTTCAGTGACCCCAGTGACTTAGTGGCTCATTCAGACTCAAAAGCTGGTCCCCTATTCTGCTGGCCGGGGATCCTTTTTGGGAAGACAATCTTGCACGAAGATGGCATGAACTAAATGAGATATTCTGTGGGTTGATTTGTTGGGTTTTTTTAAAGAATAATTAGCTTGGAAGTGTCTCCTGAAATCATCCTAGCCTATTTCTCACGGTAACAGAGCATGACCTTCAACTTTCAATAAAATCAGTTCTGAAGTTTCATGAGGCTTGTATGTAGTGACAACTCAGCTTACATACCAGCAGTAGTCCTTTGTTTTTCCAAGTTTATTTAGTAGCCTCTGCTGGGAGCATCCTGCATGTTACTCATTCATCATGGAGCAGTTCAACAAAGAACTTGTTTTTTGAAGCGTTCTCCAACAACAGAACACTGTAGCGATTAATCTTAAAAGAATCTACCCACTGAAGCCAGCAAAAGGACATCTGTTAACCTCAGGTGATTTGCCCTGGGTGTGAGTATGCCCAGTGTTACCAAGGATGATAGAGAAGGCGAATAAGTTTCTTTTTGAAAAGCTTTGCCGACAGAAGATAGCAAAGGCAGATGCAGTTACCATTAGACTGAACCTCGTTTGCTTGAGTGCAAACCCAAATGCCGCTTCTTCCTTCCTTTTTTGCTGCTCCCCTCTCTCCAGTCAGTGGGGTGGCAGCGGAGCAGATGGCTTTCAGCCAGTAGTTCTAGGCTAGCTGCTGCTTTCACTGTGCAAGCTTTAAGGTGTCTACGTGTACCTGTGCATGGCACAACCTCGTCACCTTTGTTCTACCAATTGTCATTGCTAAATCCCATAAGCCACCAACAGCACGTCCAGGCCTGGTTTTGTCATCACTGTTGCCATTACAATGGTCGTTCCCGGATCGGTGGGTTTTGGCAGGAGCTGATGTGGGAGACAGCTGTGGAGCCGAGCTAATTCTGCTTTTCTGTGTGTCCTTTTCACGCGCGGGCTTTAGGAAGCAAAAGCAGCGGCTCGAACCGAAGCAACAGCGAGAACAGCAGGAGAGCTCTGGGCAGAGAGAAGGACCGCAAGTCGGCTGGCAGCGGCAGCGAGTCTGACCACACTGCCCGCAGCGGGGGCGGCGCCAGTGTCGTGCGTCGGGAGAGGCCTGTCAGCCAGCTC